GGGGGGGGGGGGGGTGCTCTGATGGAAAAATTGGCTTCTGATGTGAAGGAAACTCTGATATGAAAGGGTGCTCTGGTGAAAAAAGGGGCTCCTGGATTGAAGAGGGGAGTCTGATGAATACCATTTGTTGTGTTTTTGCATGGGTTCCCTCTTAAAATCCATACCAAATACCTATTTGGAATAAGGTTCAGATAAGGTATGGATTTTGGAGGGGCTACAAGTGTTTTGAGATTTTGCATAATTATAGAGCTGCAGCTAACGATTATTTTCAAAATCGATTAGTTAGCCGATTATTAAGTTCGATTAATCGGATAAAAAATCAAATCAAATAAATGGCTCCAGTGATGGGACTACTAATTTGTATTGAATGTAGTCCATCACAGGAGCAAGCTTGGAGCGGTGGAAGTAAAAAAGAAAACAAAAGTGTTTTGTGCAATATAGTGAAATGAAAAGTACATATTATAAAGTTGGCAAACATTGATCTAGTGCTTGTGATATATTTTTACATGCAGGCACTGAATAGTAATTATTAAGAGAAATCAAAAACATTGAGTTAAATTTGTTGGATGCCTGATTTATAACTAATTTTCTTAAATGTTCACTGGTAAAATGAGGATTTTGAATACTTTGATATGTATGAATTTAGAATTTGCGATAAATACGGAGAGGAAATACAGTGTGTTTATGAACACACTAATCGGTTACCTTGGGATCTGCTGTCTGGTACACATGGTCCTCACTGCTGGTGCCGTCAAGGCTTCTGGTGGAAGTAGAATTTAAAGTTTGCAAACTTTCTCCTGGAAATATCTACTTGATGCAATGAGATAGCTATCTACAGACACTGAATATTGCAAAATATTGTAAAATGAATCACTCTCTTACCTATAGACCCAGGCAATTGTTATATTTTAGCTATGACCTAGTAACTCTCAGGACAATATCTCAAATTGAATAAAGCGTATCTAAACCTAAAAACAAAATGTACCTGTCCTTAGATGTGGTGGCTTCATTAGTTTTCCTTTTTTTGCAGGTTTTTTTTTAACTTTATTTTCACATGATGATCCTACTAGTAACACAATTCATGTCCTAGGGTGACAACATTCTCTCACCACATTTTATTTATGGAAAAGCAGCATTGTCACCCTAGGTTGCTCTTTTATGTCAGGAAAGCTGCACTCGTGGCCATGCTCAAAGATTTGTACCTGTGCATATTGCAGCCCATGGTCCAACGCTTACAATCATGACCATGGGCATCTGCATGTGTGGCACTGGCCTTTACCCACTCCATTTAAAGCTCAGCACAACCTAAGAGAGGTGCTGGGGGGTTGTCAGCTCTTGTGACCTGACCTGCGCTTCTGTTACCCCGAGTTTAAGCCAGCTTGTCGTCTCTCCTCTGTAGTACCTGTACCTCCTGCTGCTGATCTTGCTTATGTCCTGACTTCACCTTCTGCCTACTGTCTTGGTAGCTCTGCTGCCTGTTAGATGTGGATCTTGGCCTGGACTTTGACTGTGCTCCTGCTTTCCGAAATAGTCCCTCTGCTGCCTGGTTGTTACGGACTCCTGCTTGCCCTGACTGTGATTCCACTTCCTGCTCCTGTGAGTTCCTGTTCCCGATCTGCGTACCATAATTTTGCACGGATCTGGTGCGTACCTTTTACAGCAGTATCCAGATCTGCTGTGTCCAGCCCAACTACTTGCCCTACTACTCTTTGGCATAAACCCCAGTGGTTTTGGACAGGAGGTGTAAGGGAAGCCCTGTCATCAACTTGGCCTCTGCCAGGTACATGAAGCTTCATCTGCATTATATGGATGGCAGGGGGACTTGTAGTTTACAAAAGATAGCTAAGTAGGCAGATAACAATGGTTGAGATTTTAGTTCAGTGCACAGGACATTGCATTTCTGACTAAATCAACAGCTGTTTTCTGTACTTGCTGAAAAACCACATCTAAAGATTGGTAAGGTAAAATATTACATTTTTGTTCTTGGGTTTAGATATACATAAATTGGGTTTATCAGTAATAAGCCAGTCTAAGGTCTTTTAAGATCTCTGCGACCCCATTAGGGGGACGCCTTTCACTTCCAAAACCTGCAATAACCACTAAATAGTGTCCTGCAGCTTATCAGATAGCTATGCGGGATGCAAGGCGTTTGTTCCGCTGCTCTGTGCTTCTTTTCAGCGCTCACCACCACGTTCCCCACCTCCACGTGGTGGTGTGAAAGCCGTGACAAGGCAAATTAACTTGTCTTACGTTGGGACTTGTGACATAAGGAAAGGAGAAGTCAGCGAGGGGCGATATATTTCCCTTCGCTTTCTGTCCCATGTACAAGACTAGCGGAACCCAGACCGGATTTTTGGGCTGACCTTTGGTTTGAATGATCCAGCTCGGGTTTTGCGTCTCTCACCTGGATCACTAATTGCTTAACGATTGCTTATCCAGGTGAGATAAAAGGAGCAAGACTGAAACAGGATGTTGCTCTGCCCTGGGACTCAGACAGCATTCTTATCGGACGAAACTTTTCGTCCGATGATCGAATAGTCGTACGATTTTCGTACGGCAGCCCCATCCTGCCCCGATGATCGCAAGATTAATTTAGCCGTAATTAACGAAAAGCACCTGGATGAAATGCGGTAATTGATTTGCAGTATTTTCGCTAGCGCAGTGTAGATCGTACGACTTTTGACGGACGGAAACGCCAGCAACCTTATGAAAATCGTACGATCGAGCAAAGTTTTCAAACATGCTTGACCGTCAAAAGTCGTACGATTGTACAGTAATGTCGGTCGGACACTGCAATGCACACATACGATTATCGGATGAAAAGTCGATCGCATACGAAAATCATCCGAGCTACAAGTCAGATGGTGGTGAGTACAAGGTTGCAGAAAAAGTAAGTTTGTTCTTATGAGGTGGCTGAGATAAGCTCACCACCTGGTAGAGGGGAACCTGCCTGTTTAGTCAGAGCCTGGATGGCAAGGATTTATTTTCTGACTTATTTTTGTTTTATGGCAAACCTTTAAATAAAACTGACTGCTAGTCAAATTGAAAACAAACTTTTGCTGCCTGGACTACCTTTTTCCCAGGGAAGGTGATCACCATTTGAGCTATACCCCCACAGACTGCAATTGACACAAACAAATTGTAAATCTTCCAGAGACCCAAACACTGTTAAATAACCCCTTATTGAAAAGCGTCTGCACACACTCTAACCGTTTTAAACTGCAAAAACACAATTTAGTTAATTTAGTCAATACCCCCAGCAGGTATCAACTGAAGAGGTTGTGGAGAAAGGGGCACCTTGACTGGGCTGGAGACTGTGTAGACCTGTAGTGCTCTTCCCCCTGGTCCCCTCCCCTACTGTTGGATCAAAAGAGCCCCGCTCGGCCCCTAACAGTGGGGGTCCTGCACACTGGGCATCGAGATAGGCCAGTACACGTCTGCTGTTTCCCTCCATTTTAGCCTCCCCAGAACAAAGGACACATGGGGGGGGGGGGGGGGGGGGTGAGAGGGTAGGC